TACTACTAAGTGTACTGAGTCTATCAACCGTAGTAGTGCTACTAATACCAATCCTAACATTCATGCTAATACGGATAAACATGCTACTATTAATAGTACTATTAGGAAAGCTACTAACTCTAATGCTAATAACATTAGTAGTACTAGTATTCCCAATTCTACTAATTTGAATACTATCAACCATGATACGACTCATCATAGTCATTTTAGTATGATTAATACTACTAGTAAGGGTAATCAAAATAATACGATGGCACATCATACGAAACAATCATAAGATGAAGGGGACGCGGAGGAGCAGGCGGAGGCGGAGGAAGAGGACGAGGCGGATGCGGAGGAGGCGGAGGAGGAGGAGGAGGCGAAGGAGGAGGCGGAGGAGGAAGAGGAAGAGGAAGAGGAGGAGGAGGAGGAGGAGGAGGAGGAGGAGGAGGAGGAGGAGGAGGAGAGCCCCCTTGGTTCGAGCTGCTTCTCGTTCTGGGGCTTCTTGCGCGCACTGGCCCGCCCCGAACCCCCGCCATGGGCCTCCAGGCTCATCTCGGTTGGCTTCGCCAGCAGCTGGCTCAGGGCGTTCCAGCGCACATCGTGCGACTTACAAGATCACCGTCGAGCCCCATGGGGACTACGACAGAGACCACTCGAACTGTACCATTGGGAGTTTTTGGCGCACTCGAACAGAACATGATGCATTGTATTGTCACGGATCGTGGCCACAAACATTCATCAGGCAGTGCCGGAGTGTGTTTCTGGCTCAGCTCCCGCCCTCTGCACGCTCATGATGAAGTGCGCTCTGGAGGACACCAACTTTGTCTGGACCGTGCTGACGGACACGCAGGAGGGCATCGACGAAGTGAGCCACGGCAAGAACGTGGTGCCTTTCCAATGGATCTCTGGAGTCGTAGAACATTCATAATGAAGCATAAAAGATAGCAATTCAGCAACACAACAAATACAACAGCATAACAAACATGGAGTCGTACTGAGGGAGAGAGCCAGCAACGCTGGGCACGCACCTCGTGCCCCGCGCCCTTGGCGAGGGGCTTCTGGGTCTACGTTGGATGTTGATGCCATCGTTATGCCTCCTCCCTCCTCCTCCTCCTCGTCCTCACTCTCCTCCTACTTCTCTTCCTCCTCCCTCCGCCTCCTCCTCGTCCTCCTCCCTCCTCGCAATGTTGTGGCTATGCTTTGGTATCTTTTACCTCACGCCACGGCAGCGGTCGAGAGGGATGAGGGGACGCGCCTGGCGCGAGGGTGGAGGGCACATGAGGCTGAGCTTCTCAAACAGCCGTCGAAGCCACCATGCAGCAGTGCGTCCGAGCAGCGGAAAGCATGAAGTGCGAGACCAGCGTGTGGCTCGAGATCCTGTCCCGCACCATCGTTGGTTTCCCGCAGCGCTGCTTTTTCGGCAACCTGCACGTTACCAACTTCTCGAGTGCAAGCGTGACGGCCGAGGCCTGGCATCATGCAGTGCACGGGCCAGCGGATCCATACATCGCAGGGTCTCCAGCCCCCTCACAGACGTGCTGATGCGGGTGCTATCGCTTTTCGTATCGAAGCTACGGCCTTCTGCGTTCGAAAGTTACGAGCACGTATCCGGCACTTCGACGGTGCATTTGGAGTGGAACGAGCCTTGAGGTGGTCTGCCTTCACATTGTTTTGGTCGGTGTGCAGATCTGCATGCATGCGGGTTGTATTTCTGTCCTCTGTCAACACCTCAGATTAGCCGTTGACGGCGATGGCAATCCAGTTTACGCGTTCGTCGTGAACGGAGCTGGATATCGCATCCACCACTGACACTTCGCCAGCAGGGAGCGCTGAGCGAGGCGCCTTCGTCAGTTGAGGCATCCCCAGGCCAGAGGTGCGCACGTGGGAGGTCGAGCCATGCCGGCTGTTTTGCTGGGCGTGGCGCGCATCTCTGGCGGTCCTGCGGTCCAGTGGTGCCGCTTGCGGGTGTCCTGGCTGGGGGGGGGCCGACGGGTCCTGGGCCTGCGCGCCCCCCCTCACCTATGGCTCTCTCTCTCTTCCTCCGCTGCGTCTCCCGTCTTGGGGGGGTGCGCTGGCTTGGGACCTGTCTTGCGTCTGGGTCCCAGACGCAAGACAGTCCCAAGCCAGCGCACCCCAGACTCTGGGAGCTCTGGGGTGTCTGTGGCCCTCGTTGCCGTTCTGCTGCTGTCACACTCTCTTCTCGCCACGTTTTCCGCTTCGGCTACGTACCATTCGCCCTGACATCCACATATGTATCCGTGTATATAGACACGGAGACATATGTATATCTACACATACATATATATATATAACTATATGTATATAGACCGACATGTACATGTAACACATTTGCGTGTGCAGCAATATATTGATATACATATTTATGTAGTTCTACAAGTATGCTTGTATCTTTACGCTTGTACATATATATATATAAATTTAGACAGCACACATGTGTGCACGTACTTCCATATATAGAAAATATCGATACACTCAAACACATATATTTATATGTATATATATACATGTACGTCGACCGACCTATACACATACACATATACTATTTGGTATCTCGATAGATAGACGATCTACATGTGTATGTGTAACAAGATAAGAGAGAGACAGACAGACAAACAGACAGACAGACAGAAAGACCGAGACACAAAGACAGACAGACAGACAGACAGACAGACAGACAGACAGACAGACAGACAGACCAACCGACAGACACACTCATATATACACATTCACATACTTTTTTCAACCTGTGTATATATAAGTACATAGATCGACAGGCAGACAGACAGACAGACAGACAGAGAGACAGTAGCTGGGTAGGCAGTTAGGTCGGACATTTTACTTTTTGAATTTCGATGAGGCTACCTCGATATTCCGATATCTGCACTATTCATTTGTATTAAATATGTAATGTATGTATATGTATGTATGTATGTATGTATGTATGTATGTACGTATGTATGTGCATATGTCGTGTATATACATACACATACATATAGACATATACATGTGTATATGTACTTGTATATGTATATGTATATGCATACGTATATGTATATGTATATGTATATGTATATGTATATGTATATGTATATGTATATGTATATGTAGATGCATATGTATGTGTACATGTGTATGTATATGTATATGCATATGTATATGTATCTGTAGGTGTATGTATATATGTATAGGTATGTGCATATGTATATGCCGATGCTTATGTATACATATATATATATATATATATACATATGTACATGTATATGCATATGTGTATGCATATGTATATGCATATGTGTATGTACATGTATATGTACATGTAAATGTATATGTATGTGTATATGTACATGTATATGCATATGTATATGTCCATGTATATGTATATGTATATGCATGTGTGTGTATATATATGTACGGAATGATATACACATGTGTGTGTGTACATTTACAGCTAGATGAGGAGGAGGACGAGGAGGAGGAGGACGAGGAGGAGGAGGTCGTTCAGGGGTCGCCGAAGATCTCCCTGGCCCGAGGCGTCTCCTCAGCTTTTCGCGCCATTCTGGCGCCCCGGGGCCCTCCGGGGCCACGCGGGGGGTGCTCCGGAGGCCGCGGGGGCCTCCCCGGAGATCCCGGGGCCTCCTCGGGCCGGTCCTGCCGGCGATGCTGCGCGCTGGTGGGTCTGGTCGGTTCGCGCTGCGGGCCCTGGTGCTGTCGGGGTGGCCTCCCCTCCAGCGCGGCCTTCACCGCCCGTCAAACTACCCCGACCCAACCCAAAGGCCCCGATTTGCCCTCCATCTCCAGTGGGGCGCGCGCTGACCTCTACACACCATTCCCCCGCTGCGGGATCATCTACCACGCTCTTCTCCACGGTGTTGGCGAGTCAGGCTGGCCAGGGGGGTCGGGGAGCATGGAAAAAACACGTGTGAAGCCCGTACCGCCCCCGATCCGAAATTCGGACGGAATTCGTGTCTTCGGGTTGGGTTAGGGGTTGTCTGGTAGGTAGTCAGTCAGGCCTTGCCTCCCTCCATACTCTGTGCTCCCTGTCTTGGTTTGTCCTGGGTCTGTCTGCCGATGGGAGTAAGGGCACGCCCCCTGCCCGAGCCCAGGCAGGCACCCGTTCTGCTCTTCTCAGGTCCCCTGAGGCGTCAGACTCTTTTCGAGCAGGTGCTGAGACCTCGACTCTTATCGCCCAGGTGCGGCTCTCTTCTGCTCCTTTCTCCTCGTCCTCGTCCTCGTTGTCGTCCTCCTCTGCCCCCCTCTTTCCTTGTCGGGCCCTTCTTCCCTGGTGTCCCTGGCCTGGGGTGGTGTCGAATATTTTGCGCCGTTCCTCCTGCGATGCCGCTCTACTGGCTTCGAGATCGTGCTCGGAGTCGCTCTCGTTGAGCCAGGCGTTGAGCGTCTGCTGCCCGCGCCCTTGCGGCCCTGCGGGCCATGCGCAGCGTGCAATCTGCCGTGGGCAAGACGAGCGTGGTGCTTTCCTCAGCTCGTGGTCTTTTATCCTCTTTCTACTCCTCCCCCCACTCCTCTCCCTACACCTCCCTCTCCCCCTCCCCCTCCTCCTCCTCCTTCCTTCCTTCCTTCCTTCCTTCCTTCCTTCCTTCCTTCCTTCCTTCCTTCCTTCCTTCCTTCCTTCCTTCCTTCCTTCCTTCTCCTCCTCCTCCTCCCTCCTCCTCCCCTCTCCTCTTCCTCCTCCGCCAGCGGTGATCGTCCTGCGAGCCGGGCGTCCGTAGGGAGGGCCACCGAAACCCTGGCGGGCTTATGGGGGAGGAGGCCTGCCGCCAGCGAGGGCCTGCAGCGGCGCTGCCGCTCAGACAGGCGTCGCATCGGGCGCATTTCTCTTCTGGTGCCCTCCGGTTTCGTGCCTCCTGTTCCGCGGCGATGCCGCTCACGCATGCGTCACACTGTTTAGGTGGTCAAGTATGGGAGCTTCTGTCCGACCCAAAGAGTTTCTCAAACAATGGTTTAATGAGATTTGGTGGGATTTCGCGGGTGCTCACGTGGGATTTAGTGGGCTTTAGTGGGATTGAGTGGGGTCGCAAGTGGGATTTAGTGGGATCCATTGGGTTCAATGGGGGACTAAATCTAGCTGACTAGGCGCTCGTGCGACTACCTGAGGCTCCGATGCCTGGCCACCTGGCACTGTGTGCTCTCTACTCGGTCTAGATTCGGGTTCGCGCCTCCCGGCCGAAGCGCTGCGACTGCCGCTCACGCAGCCGTCACATTGTGGATGCCAGTGGTGCTTCCAGCCTCGTGCCTCCCTTTTCGCGGCTCGCCGCAACACGTGCTGGGTGAAACGACGACGTCTTCAAGTATCCGACGCCACGCACCCAGACATGATTTGCAGGTAATCCGTCGCGACGAGGGAAGCATTGAAGAGCACCACGCCGGAAGCCGAAATTCTGAGAATGATTGTGCAGGCTCCCAAAATAGACAGCCGCAGGCGCCCACATGGCGGGGATCCAAGAGGTTCCCCAGACGGGTACGCAGCCAGAGGGCTGCTGATATTCTGCATTCCGTCAGACCTTCCCTTTCCCAATCCTCCCTCTTCCCCTCCTCCCTTTCCTCCTCCTGTCCATGTCTCCTCGAGACAGGTCTTCCTGCTCCACCCCCCCAGCCCTCCCGTACGCCACCCGCGCCGGGCCTGGAGAAAAGGCACACTGTTGCCTCCCGTGCCCCCTTTCTGCCCCTCCTCCCTCCTCCTCCTGATAGTCCTCCTCACCCTCATCACCCTCGCTGCCCTTCTCGTCGTCGTCGTCGTCGTCATCCTCCTCCCCCTCCTCCTCCTTCCGCACTCCGAGGCCGGTCGAAAGGGCGGGCTGGGCGTTTCGCCTGAGACTTCCTCACCATTTGTGACCCTGAAGTTTAAAGATTGACGACAGTTTCGCAGATGGAGGGCAGGTGATGTTCAAAATGTGGCTCTCGCCTTAGCCGCGCGCACATTCCTTTTAAGAATTTGCAAGGGTTTCACGGGTTGAGGGCGGGTGGTGTTCAAAATGCGGCTCTCGCCTAAGCTCCGCGCGCATTCGTTTCAAACATTTGCAATAGTTAAACGGATTCGGGGCGGGTCGTTTTCAACATGCGGCTCTCGCCTAAGCAACGCGCACATTTGTCGTGCAAAATTGCAAGGGCACGGGTTGAGGGCGGTTCGTTTTCAACATGTGAATTTCGCCTTAGCGCCGCGCACATTCGTTTCAAAAGTTTGCAAGAGTTTTACGGAGTGAGGGCGATTCCCTTTCAAAATGTGGCGCTCGTTTTAGCGCCGCGCACATGCGTTTTAAAATTCGCAACAGTTTCATTGGTTCTCATGATTAACGTGCTGGAAATGGTGTGCTGGACCGATTCATGACTCGCAGGGTTCAACAGTTACGTTGATTTGCTGTGTTGAAGTCCCAGGAGTGGTGTTCTGGCACGATTCAGGATCGCCCAGACCTCACAGTCAGGTTGACTCGTGGCGTTGAAGTCCTGAGAGTGGTGTTTGGGCACGCTTCAGGATTTTTACACGGTTGTCCCCCAACTCGGCAATTTCTTCAGTGGAAATGGACCCTTGGAGGGGCCTATGAGATCTTCTGAAGAGGGAGCTTGGAGGGAGGATGTAGTTCAACCTCGTTGATGAGTCTTAGGTTTGCACTGGTCCTCCTCTTCCTCCTCCTCGTCCTCCTTCTCCTCCTCGTTTGTCGCTCTTCCCTCTGCGCTGCTGCTGGTGCTCCTCCTCCTGCCCGCGTCCTCCCTCGCGGAGGCTGTGGACAGCACCTTCCGCCCGCTGAAGGCGGGCGACGAGTGCGCGGCCACGGTGCTGCTGGAACTGCCACGGCGGGCGCCCGCGCCGGTGCCGTAGGCGCCGCCGCCGCCCGCGGCGCAGGTGCCGCGCGGCGCGGCCGCAGGAGGGCACCGCGCCCGTCGGTGTCGGCCTGCCGCCCGGGGAGGCAGTCGTGCCCCGCCGGGTCCTCCTGCGCCCGTTCCTGCTCTAGGCTGAAGTCGGGCGTGTCCCTCTACAGGAGGAATATCGAAAAATAGCCAAAAATAGGATGGGGACGACTTTTGGACTAATTTGGACTGTTTTTGTCTGTTTTTGAATATCTTAAGGTCATGCTTTATTTTTCCTCCCAAATCTGCCTGCAGGAGGACATCCCCGACCTAACCGTAGGCCTCCCAGATGGGGTCCGAGCAGATGGGGTCAGAGGATCGCGCCGCATCGCCAGTGCATTGGCGATGCGGCTCGATGTGGAGCCCGACTGCCTCCACGCCGACGTCGCCGATGCATTGCTTGATGCATCGTTCTATGCATCGGCGCCGCGGCGCGATCCACCGACCCCACCTGCTCGGACCCTGTCTGGGAGGCCTCTTCCTGCGGGCTGCACGCAGGCGTGGCCCTTTGCCCGCGGTGGCCTTTGGGGGCGCGGCTTTCGCGGGGCCATGCCGAGAGTACGCCGGCCGCTGAGCCTGCCGCACCGCGCGCAGCGGTCCGGCAGGCCGCGCACCATGGGTCGTCTCCTCCTCGCGTGCGGCCGGCTCCTGCGCCCGCTCCTCCCTTCCCGTCAGGAGAGAACGAAGGACGTACACGCACACGAATACGTGTTGGTTTCGAAATTACGCACTGCGCGAATGTTCGTGTCACGCGGCCGGTCTCGCGGATCGAGAAGCCGTGTTCATGTACATAGCTGGGCGCGTACGTCCTTTGCGGGCTCCCTATTCCCCTCCCCCCCTCTCTGCTCGAGGAGGGGAGAGGCCGCGGTCGCGGCGCCGGCTGCGACAGGTGTACAGCGGAGCTGCCCGCCCGCGCGGGGAGAGAAAGAGTCGTCGTGCGCGGCGGGCGCGTCGCGCGAGGTGGCGGCATCGCTCTTAGCTCGTTCGAGCATGCCACAGGCTTGTCGTCGCTCGGACGTGTGCGCCTTTCTCTCGCGGCCAGGACCTTCGAGGAGCATTTTTGGCTCCTCGTAGGAAGCCGACCAAGGCACGGGGAACGGGCGTCCGAGCGATGCTGAGCAGGCGTTTGACTGGTGGTGGCTTTTTGGAGCGAGTGGGCGGCATCAGTTGGCATCGCCCCGCCGCTCGGAGGTCTCTTGGGGCGCTCCTGGGGCGCTCCTGGGGCTGTCTTGGGCGCTCTTGGGGCCGTCTTGGAGCCTTTGTGGGCACCTCTTGGCTCCCGTGGGCGATGATGGAGCAACCTTGGGGTCTCGTAAGCCAATTGGGAGTGAAAAGGCGCGAAGGCAAACATCGCTGACACCACCTACGTTTTGAGTCATTTGTTGGCCTCTCGGGGGCGTCCTTGGGAGGCTCCGTGGCCACTTGGAGGGTCATGGGGCCGTCTTGGGGCCTCCTGGAGGCATATTGGAGGCCACCCTGAGCCATCTTGATTTATCTTGGGCCATCATCGAGGCCATCTTGGGCTATCCGGGACTCTCTTGGCCGTCTTGGGCGCTCTGACCCCTCGCGCCCCCCGCTTCCAGAGCAAGGAGTGAGAGGGTTATTGCGAAGGCCTTACGGCCAGTGCCGCCGACCCTGAAGGGGAATGACGACAACGGCTGCGGCGGCGACGACGACGACGCTGATGTGGGTCAGAGTCCTCATGGATGCTTCTTGGGGTCTCTTCGAAGCGCTCTCGGGGGCTTCTGGGGGACAGTTTAAGGGCCTCTTGGGAGCCTCTTGGGGGTCTCTTGGGAGCCTCTTGCGGGCCTCTCGAGGCTTCCAGTGGGGTTCTTGGAGGGCCTCTTGGGGGCCTCTTGGGGGCCTCCTGGGGGCCTCTTGGTTCCTCCTGGGAGCCTCTCGGGGCCGAGGGCTCGAAATGCCCGTTCTGGTCCCTCGTCTGGGCACCCTCTTGGAGCCGTCTTGGGGGTCCCTTGGGCCGTCTTGGAGGCGTCTTGGGCTGTTAGGGGGCCCTCTTGGGCCGGTTCGGCTCCCTCCTGGAGCCCTTGGGCCCCGGGACGATCTGGGGGGCCTCTTGGGCCGTCTTGGAGCGTCGGGAAGCGGAAGAGGTGAGAACGCCGAAATGTTTCAAAACCCACTGGGAAATCTATGATTTTTCCTATTGAGGCCCTCTTGGGAGTGCTCCTGGAGGCCGGGGGCGGGGTTCGGGAGGGGGGGGGGTGGGGGGAGGGGAGTCCCCCTGGTTCTGATCGACGGCGCCGAGTGTTGGGGGGGGGGCCCCCCCCCGGTTTGAAACGCGCCGCCGAATGTTCCCAAGGCAAGCGCCCATGAAACGCGCTCTCTCAATTTGTGAAATTCTGCGTGTAGAGCGGGCGATCTTCCAGACAACTTTAGGAAAGGAGGGGCAGTCAAATTCATATGGTGGGCAGCAACTCCGCAACCTACATGCGAGAATATTCGCAATGTCGCCCCTGACATGATCGAAAATGAGAGCCGTGGCCTAGCTGTGTCTAGACATCTAAGTGCGCGCGTAGCCCGCGTGATTCGAGTACATGTGTTTATAGAATTATGTAATGTTTATGTGTGTGTTCATGTATGTTGATATAGCTATGATCATCTATGTCCATATGTGTATATGTAGGCATGTACGTGTACGTATGTGTATGTGTGTGTGTGCATGCCTGTCTTCTTCCTGTCTGTCTGTCTGTCTGTCTGTCTGTCTGTCTGTCTGTCTGTCTGTCTGTCTGTCTGTGTGTATGCATGTATGTATGTATGTATGCATGCACGTATGTATGTATGTATGTATGTATGTACGTATGTATGCACGTATACATTTATGTATGCGTGCATGCACACATGTATGTATGTATGTATGCATGCATGGATGTACGTACGTATGTATGTACGTGTGCACGTTTGTGTATGCATGTATGTATGTATGTATGTATGTATGTATGTATGCATGCATGCATGCATGCATGTATGTATATATGGATGCATATATGCATGTATGCATGTATGCATGTATGTATGCATGCATGTATGCATGTATGTATGCATGTATGAACGTACGTATACATATGTAATTTATGCGTGTGTGACTGTATGCATGTATGCGTATATGCCTGCCTGCCTGTCTGCCTGCCTGCCTGCCTGCATGTATGCATGCATGCATGCATGCATGCATGAATGTATGCATGTATGTATGTATGTACGTATGTATGTAAATGCATATGCATATGTATATGTGTATGTGTATGTATATGTATTTGTATATGTACAGGTCTATGTATATGTATGTATGGATGCATGTATCTACGTGCACGTCTGTGCATCTATGTGTCTGTCTGTCTGTCTGTCTGCCTGTCTGTCTGTTTGTCTGTCTGTCTATGTGCCTGTATGTCTGTATGTATGTATGTCTGTATGTCTGTATGTCTGTACGTCTGTATGCCTGTCTGTCTGTATGACTGTATGTCCGTATGTCTGTATGTCTCTATGTGTGTATGTCTGTGTGTCTGTATATGTATATATACATGTACACGTATGTGTATTCATCTATTAAAAGAATATTTGTACATGTACATGCAGCAGTGGCCTCCAGCCAGTGCCGCCGATCTGGGGCGTTCCCGACGGTATCGAATATTCTGGCGACGAACGACGAATGCCGACGGAATATCGACGGATACCATTGACGAGGACCGACGACGACAACGACGACGAGGACGACTGACGACGACAATGGACGATTCATGGCGAGCCCGGGGCCAAGGCCAGGGCCCGGGGTCGGGGCCTGTTGGGGCCGGGACCGGGGCCAGGCCACGCCAGGGCCGGGGCTGGGCGGGGACGGGGTCCGGTCGGGCCCAGGGCTGAGGACGGTGCCATGGCCGGGGCCGGGGCCGAGCGGGGCTGGGGCCGGGTGGGGACGGGGGTGGAGCTGGGGCCGGCCGGGGCCGGCCAGGGCCCGGAGCCCGAGGAGGGGCCGGGGCAGTGGCTGGGGCTGACGCTGGGGTAGGGGCACTGGGCCAGAGGTGGGGCCGGGGCAGGCGCAGCGGGTTCGGGCCAGGGCTGGGGCCAGGCCTGGAGCCTGGCTTGGGGCGTGGGTTGGAGCTGGGGCCGGGGCCAAGGCTGGGGCTGGGGCTGGGGCTGCTGGGGGCGGGGGCGGGGGCGGGGGCCGGGCCAGGGCCGGGGCTTGGGCCAGGGCCAGGGCCGGGGTCTGGGCGGGCCCGGGGCCAGGGCTGGGGCCAGACCCCGAGCCCGGGAAATCGGAGCATGGGGAGCCATCCTTGCAGAGCGGACCAGCCCACTCTCTTATCTGAGAAACTCATACGCCGGATCGGCGGATATAACTATGCATTCCCTGATCTCTGCGCGGAAGAGTACGATTCGATGAGATGCCTTTGGAGATCTCCGAGTCAGGCGTTTGGGATGCTGCGCACTTGAAGCTGCGATGATGCGTGCCTAGACCTCAAACTTCGCTGACCCAATCGGGGCATGAGGACTCCTCACCAGTGCGAATGATGCTGAGCAGGGTGAGATTGGTCACATTCAGCCGTTGTACCCATGCGTGTTCGGGTTGTTCATGCTCTGGAGGGCCAGCTAATGTTATATGCGTAGCCAGGGCTCGAATGGAGTACGTCACGCCAGAGGGATCGCAGGGTATTTTCGCAGGCCTAGAGGTTGACACCAACACTAATTTCGGCGGTGTTCCTCCACCGAGGGAAGAAGATCCCGATCTCGGTGATGGTTGTAATTTTATGGCTTCCAGGGTGACCGAACTATTACCACCAACACCGAAACCTAGGATCACCTCCCCCCTGTGGAGGCAGCCCCCTATCTTGATGTTGGTGCCCATTTCCAGGCCTCCAATATTTGCCAGAAGCTGCAGCTCCTGGAATCGCGAAGATCTGTACCTAGACCTCAAACTTAGCTGATCCCTTCGGGGTTTGAAGATTCCTCTTCAGTGCGAATGAT